ATGAACCACAATTCCATATCCAAACAAGGGAAAAATAAGTCTAGAAGAGCAAAAACCCAATTTGTGGAACTCAGATCTGTAGCCTGAAGTGTCCCTAGCGGCTGCCCTTGCGTCTGTTGTCACTCACACAAAATCTGCGCAAGCTTCTGCCTCAAACTCGCCTCAAAGCTCTCTGCCGGCTGCCTCCCTGGTTTCTCTGCCGTCTTCTCCCTCCTCCAGTCTCCAGCGGCTGCCCCCTTTTTATATTCAACAATGTGCCCCCTTTTGAAAACTCCGTGCGCCCTTCTTTTTCTAAGCCCATCTTATCTCCTTGTGGAGATAAAGCCCACCAGGTTTTGCCACATGTGTCCAGAAGGCAATTTCAATTCTGGTCTTTGAATGGGAAAATCATGGAATCAGACTTGATGTTTTCAGCTTTTGTCACTTCAGCCCATTTACTCTAGATTTCTTTAGTTTTACCCTCTACCTATAAAGAATGATAAAAGCAATGTAAAACCAAATAAAATCATACCAATAAAATATAAAAGACTACAATTCATGACTAAAAAGCCATGTATAATTGTATGAAATTTAGGCTCATCAATGGTTGTGTTTATGATCTTCTATAAAGGTGATCATCGATGATCATGCATCATGTAGCTTTTTTGTTTCATCTTTTGTGCCTCTTCTTTATCTTTAGGCAAATCTCTGTTGAACATATATTTTTTGGTCAATCTAAGTTTCTTCTTCTTCAATGTCTAAGATCTTTTCTTATGATATTGAGGGGGAGCCCAATTCTTTAATGTACACTTTTTTCCCTACTCCTACGACTTTGAAACTAGTTGGTCTTACTAACCTATTAGCTTTTGAGTTCTCAGCTCTTTTTAGATGGCAGAGCTTATATTTAATGATCAATTTTAAAAACTGTGTGGTTTATTATAAGTCCTTTGCCATGGCTTTCCCTTAGGCATTAAAATCTCCCTTTGTTTGGTTTACCACCAATTGGGAATTGTTATACCTAAAATTGAGTTCTTTGGAAATTAGGACATGTGGAAATATCTTAGGAAGACTCCTACCAAGAATAGCATAAACCCAATTCTATTAGAATTAGAATACTCAAACACCAATCAAATAGAGTTGTATTCCTATGATAACTTTGTTAGGGGGTTTACTAGCGATGTATGTTACTGAGTTAGCAACGGTGATGACGAGGAGGTTGACTAGGATGCCACCCGAGGAAATGAATAGGGGTTCTTTTGGCAGCACTTGTCTCACGTGCACAAGGCTATATGCTACGAGCCATCTTGTTCTACCCAGCAATGATATCCCACAATGAGTTCCCCAACGAAGTTGAAGAATATAAATTCCCTAACCAAGCTGATAGAGTTGAATAGCAATGACGAAGACTCAAAGATTCAAAATGATTGTACAACTATCAAAATCAACAACAAGAATATCTATATGTGTGTGTGTGTGTGTTGCTAGAAAGGTGATGAAGATGGTAAATATATGGGGTTCAAGGGTTCCAACTAAGGATTTGTCTTCACACATAAAACACTATAACATAGTAGTAATGACACCAAATGAAACCTTTATCATCTCTAGTGAACATTTTCACCCTATAACGGACAGCTCTTATGTTGGGCAGGAAGAGTGTAACAATCCTTCTTTTGAAATTCCTTTAAGAATAGAAAGGGATAAACTTAAGAGTAGTGATGGGAGAAAGAAGGGTGTTCGCTTGGGAATGCTTGTTGATGGAACACTTAATCCCGTTCCTTGATGCTAACCATGCAGTTTGACCTTCTGATGCTCAAGAAGGACTACCCAAAAATCGAAACCGTAGCATGCTTCTCCATGGTCATGTTGTTCTGCAAGTTTGGAAGCATTTTGCGGTGCTAAGAGTATCTCGCAGTGCTGGAAATGTAGGAAATTTGGACGAAATGATGATTTCCGAATGGATTTTCAACGTGCAGGATGGTAGGATGGTTGATTAAAGATGAAGGGATCTTTAGAGAAAAATGAAGGTCTGATACGTGTGGTAGTAGGTTGAGGGAGGGAGTTAAAGTTGTAAAGAAAAATCTCGTTTGTTCCTTTCCCTTAGGATAAAGGAAATGTGATATATATATATGGCCAGTGGCATTTTTGTAATCCTACTTAATGGGTCAGAGATGTACAGATGGATCCGGCTGAGCTATCAAGTTTTGAATGGTCCTGGCATTATTGATGGCTTCTCTAGAAATAGCATCATGAGTTGCCTATTTGTTCCAACGAAGCTTCGTTGGTTTCAGTGATGGACTGGAATCTGTCTATTCTTGGAAATTCTACTAGCCACATGAAACTCCATTTTTTTAGAGGTGTTGAGCGCAACCGGCAAAAACACCATCTGCATAGTGATTTGGTAAGTTCCCTAAGCTCTGTACGGGATTTTGGGAGATTCTGCAAGCAAACAGTAGCAGTTTCCAAGGCCATGAAACTTGTGTAGTCACCCTTGCATTAAATATGGCTGCAAGTTACTAATGGTGATTCAAATGGCATCTCTAGTTGGTCTTCAACAGGATTTCCAACCTCTGGTTAGCATCAAGGGGTACTGTTCCAAGAATTAAGTTTGCTTCCACGCCTTCGCCACCTAACCCTTTCTGGCGAAGTTGGGCAACATCGCCAGTGCCAAGCTTTGCTGGCTCGAATGCTTTGCTTCACCAAATGAGTAACGTTCATCCATCCATGCCTGCCAAGCCACTACTCCCATAATTTATTACAAGTAATTCCCATGAGCTTGGATTCATGGGCTTGTGTTTATTTGCAATAATAACAAAGCACACATGAGTATATATTTGAGTATCTTAAATATAGGGAACATGTGAATATACGCAACGAAGAAGGAAACTCCTTTGTATGTTGAAGAAGGCTATGTGAACAAATGTTAATTGCTCCCATTTATTTGCTAGCAATGGCAGGTACTAATAAATTGTTGCTATACATGGCTGGCATTGTGCCAGAACAGAGAACAAGTGATGTATGTTGTGAAATCGTTGTCTCGAGTCAAACTTCGTTGGCTAGCGATACCTGCTAACACATAAGATATAAGGAACATGAGTTATAGGTTAGGGTTACTGGCAATCGATAACTTTGTCCCTTTGTATAAAAGAATGATAATTTGCATGACCGTCGGTCATGTTGTATAAATATCGTAAGGTCAGCCATGAATAGCCTTCCCATAACTAGAGGGATAATAGTGGCTAGCTTTGTCCATGGCTAGAGCGCAAACTATGTGGAATCGAAAGAACACTTCCACTAATCCACCAAGTCACGAAGGGGTAAATCTCATTAAACCAGACTTCGCCATAGCAACGAATATGTTATAGAGAGGTGGAGTTGTCTCCATGGAAAGGGGACGCCAACCGCATCCATGGCCTCTGATATGACAAGGTGTGATACCGTTGACAAACGCTAACCCTTCTTATTATACCCACACCATTAGAGGGTGGTCTTGGTTGTTGTTGCCTGTCGGGCACTGCACCACCATGCACAGGTGACCATCAAGGGACTGTTAGCTGCCGCTTAATGGATTTTATCGTTGGAGGGTAGCCATCCTGTCCGATCATAGGGTTGCAACTATTACTGGCCTCACGCTAAATGTACCGAGTTGCGTTGACTCTTTGTCCATCTTTGGGAGCCAGTGTGATAAACATGTAGGAAATCTAGCCCTTTGTCCATTGTTGGGAGCTGCGTAGATGTAATAGGATTAGCTCGTTGTCCATTGATGGGAACTAGTGATAAAGATATATAGAAATAAATGCTTGGCCCATTATCCATCGTTGGAAGCTATACAGATAAGCTCCTTGTCATTTGATGGGAGCCACATAGTAGAATAGGCTTTTTATCCATTATTAGGAGCCATAAGACACAGCTATGAACATCGTTGTGAAGGACATGGCTGCCAAAAAACGCCCAGCCATGTTGTCGAAATAGATCTAACGATGTCTGGCCATGTGTGTAGGGATAGATGCTGAGGTGAGTCACATTCTGCGATGTTTCTAGCAAAGCGAATAAACGTCATTTTTGGTGATATCGATTCCACAGCAACAATCAGCAGAAAATTGGAGTCACATGCCGGATGTGGAAAATAAGTGTTGTGAGCCTTTGTTGATGTGGACCTGCACACGTCATTAGTTATGCAGTCATATAAATTCATCCCTCAACAAACTTTATGTCAATATCCTATAAATACCTCACAGATCAACCTAATGAGGTAGATTATTTTTCTCTACTTTCTTTCCACTATAAACTCTCTCTATCAATAAACTTCTTGGTTCCATCTTTTTTATTTTTAAGTGTTAACATTTGGCGCCCACTGTAGAGCTATGTTCTTGTTGCCCCACGAATACTACATGGTGAATTTAGGAAACCCATCAACCCCTCCCAATGACATTCAAAATTTTGGAAATAACATAGGAATGAGCACCTCTTTTTCATCAAGAACAAATTCCAACAACATCGTTGGTAGATCTAAACCAGAAGCTCTGTCAATAGCATCACAGAGTGCGAAGGCTTACATAGGATATGGAGGAAACAAGGCAAAGCTTGAAGGCAATTGAAAAGGCCATAATGTCCTTCATGAACATAGTAAATACTCCGACATAGAATCTAAAGAGACAGGAGAGAAAGCAGAGAATTTTGTCATTCAAAACACAAAGTAGTATCTTAGAGGAGCAGAGGATTTAGTGCGTGGAAATAGTAATTATGATGATGAAGTTACGCACCTTCAAGACTAACTGAATTGACTATTGATACAAGTTTGCAACCATCCTCGACCTTTACTAAATATAATTTCTAAAACAAAAGCGTGATACTAGGCTCACAAGGAAGCAGAGGAATAGCTGCGCAGCAAATATACGGGGCACCCATTACACCAACACAATTAGTAAAAAAAGATGCGCAGTTTCATAATAATGATATCTGTAGAGAAATAGGGACATTACACAAATATATATTGAAGGTTGAAGCAGGAAGACAGAGACGGCCAGAATTGACATACACAGCTTCAGTAGAAAAAGCTTTTGTAGAAGAAATCATTAAAGAGCCTGTATTGATAAATTTTAGAACTCCATAGTTAGCAGAGTATGATGGGACACTAGATCCAGTTGAGCACGTACAAGGATTTAGGATGGTAATGATGGTCCATGGAGCTTTTGAAGCTTTGTTATGCAAACAATTTCCTACGACCTTCAAGAAAGTAGCATAGGCTTGGTTTGCAACATTGCTTGAAAGATCTATCTAGACCTTTAATCAATTCAAGAACATGTTCATTAATCATTTTACGGCTAGTAGGATTCCCCAGAAAACCAATCATCACCTACTAACAATCAAACAAAAAACAGACAAATCATTAAAAGCCTACATAATAAGATTCCATAATGAAGCTGTACAAGTGGAAAAGCTAGACCAAAGCGTAGCAATGCATGCTTTGATGGATGGCCTAAAAGATTCAAGCTATTATAGGTCTTTAAATAAACGAGAACCAACAAGTTTTAATGATTTATTAACAAGAGTGAAAGGGTATCAAAGTAGAAGAAAGAGTAGCAGTCAAAGAAGCGCAATAAAAAAATATTGAAACATCAGAAGAAAATCGAAAGAGAAAAATAGAAAAGGAGGAGATCGAAGGGATGTATCACAAATACAACTAGCAAATTACCATAGGAAAGTAGAAAATTATTGTAATCATAAAGTAAAACCCAAAAACCTATACAAAGGAGATTGGGTATTGTGAAAAACAGAGGTTTAAAAAAAAATGGGGGAAAGCTATGCCTAAACTGAGAAGATTCATACCTCTATAAAGAGAGTTTGAGAAATGGAGCTTTCAAGCCCAATCATCCCAATGAAACCTTAGTTCCAAGGACTTAAAATGTTGTGCACCTTAAAAGCAAAGATTCATTTTGCATCGCTAAAAACCACTTCTAAATGGAACACAACTTTAAGAATAAGGTCTTGGCTGTACACATCTTCACTCACTTCTACGCAACATATAGCTTCAGCATCCCCTTTAAGTTATCCAAAGCTTTAAACACCAAACATGGTGAAATATGAATGTGCAAAACTATGGAGCTATTCTTAAATCTCTAAAATCCGGATAAGGTTAGTTAACTCAAAATTTTGAGAAAAAACTAACTAAAATAAGCTTAAGCAAACTAAAAGCTGTAGGCAAGCTAGGGTGTATATAAATACCATGGCAAAAGCTATGCAAGCGAGGCTATACAACTATGGGCAAGCTAGGGTGTATAGAAATACCCAAGCAAAAGCTACGAAAGTGAGGCTCTATAAAAAGTTGCAAGCAAGTTAAGGTGTATATAAACATCTAGGCAAAAGCTACGCAAGTGAGGCTACGAAGGTTAATGCAATTCTCGAATATAGGAAAGACTTTGCAACATAAACCCATAGTAACCAATTGGGGTGTAAACTTGTGTTCTAGCCTATCTTTTATATAAGAAAATGGAGGACATGGCATATACTAACTGATCATTAAATTATGGATTCTCATTGACGAACGAGAATACATTCACCATAAGAAACTATGATGGCCTATAAAACTGATAAAAAGCTACACAAAAATTCAAAAACTAGAATTTAGTTATACTTAACTTTTGAATATCAGCATGCCAGTAAACCAACCAAATACACAAGTTCTGGTATAGTTTCATTGAAAAGTCATAATGCCAGGCATGATCAAAACTCAAGTTAGAAACTGAGCATTTGTTCAACAAGTAGATGTTCTTAAAACACAAAACCAATGCACTACAACATAATAACATATATATATATAAATAGAAAGATCCAAATATAACAAAACAAAAATAAAAGATCCATAATAGATAGAGAAATATTAAAGCAATGCAACCCAAATGTTTTTCCAAAAATAAATGTTCTTATATACAGGTTCAATAAAATGTCGGTAAAGCTAAAAAGGATGGGCATCTTGGAAAACCTTTGCATCAACAAAGAAACATAAAAGGAAGCGCGGATACCTGCGGGGGAGGTAAAGAATCAGCAGTAAAGAGTCTTGAAATCATCTTTAGCATCATCGTCATTATCATCGAAAGTAATTAGCAGTAAAAGAGGATCGCATACATCATCCAATATCGCAAGACAACTCCTTATGCTTTGAAATAGCTCTAAATCCTCATCATCACTATCAGAATCCAAGGACTAATATGTTGGCTGATGCAATGGCAGCAGATGCAGACACAAGAACTTGAGGAGGATTGTAATCAGCTATGTCGATTTGGTTATCATCAGGTTGGAGAACTCCTCATTGTCAACCTCTAAACGAAAATAGAGACTATCCATGCAATACTTGCAATTGGAGGAGCCAATTCTTAACGACGATAGGAGATTGATTATCAGGATGTAAAAACCAACAGTTACTGCCATACTTGCAGCAACCCTTTGACCAAAACCGACAAACTGGTTTGTAAGAAGTCGGAGAAGATAGAGAGATTGTCAGGAATGCGGGGAGTGTTGTGTTTGTGGTGGAGTGATGAAGAAGCAAAATAAAAATAAAATAAGTTAAGAAGGAGCTTCAACAACAACAAAAGTTACCAAAGCCCGGACTACAGCTGAAGAAGCTCTAACAAAAATCTACCTCCATCTTAGTAAAATCCTGGGTAACCAAAGCAATAATAACATATTCAAAAGGATCCCTCTCCATCAAACAAAAAAATGGCGAAGTAGAAGAAAGAAAGTAAGAACAGCTGAAGAAAAGAAGGAAGCCACATCGGAGGGGAAAGAGAGGAAATTGGAGAAACCAAATAGAAATAAAATAAAAAAGAAAACATAGAAAGATGGAGATGGAGACTAAAGGGCTAAATCGAAGAACAATAAGCAAGAAAAAGAAGGTGAAAAGATCAGATAAATTAATAAAGAAAAAGAAGAAAGTCACCGAAAAAGGGAGAAAAGATAAAGAATTTTATAAAGAAAAGGTGGAAAGTTCGAGAATGCCTTATCAAAAACCCACATTTTAAAATTCAGCCTTTTAAGCAAAATGGAGAAATTTGAAGAAATCCTGCAAGTTGGTCCATCTTGGTACCAACCACAAATAGGGGTTGCACACATGTAAAAGCTAGCAAAAAGGAAATGACAATACCAGCAAAGAAATCTTGAAGAAAATACAAATAAAGAAATCAAGATAACTGCACAGAATATGGAAGATTGATAGAAAGCATACCGAAAGTTGTGAAAATAACAAAAAACCTGTGCTGTACTCTTTTTTCCTTAAGCTAGTTTTTTATCCTATAAGGTTTCTTACTAGCTAAGGTTTTTGACGAGGCAGCCATGGTCACAAAATCTTTGCCATAATAAGATGGAACATCTTAAAGGCAAAGATATGAAAAAGCTACGCAAAATTTGGAGTCAAGCTACTCAACAAGTTTTCGTTACCTTTAAACTTTTTTGATTGGGGGGAAAATGTTATACCTAAAATTGAGTTCTATGGAAATTAAGACAAGTGGAAATATCTTAGGTAGACTTCTACTAAGAATAGGATAAACCCAATTCTATTAGAATTAGAATACCCAAACATCAATCAAATAGAGTTGTAATCCTAGGATAACTTTATGTTAATATCCTATAAATACCTCAAGGATCAACTTAAGGAGGTAGATTATTTTTCTCTACTTCCTCTCCATTGTAAACCTCTTTATCAATAAAGTTCTTGGTACCATCTTTTCTATTTTTTAGTGTTAATAGGAATCACTGAATATCCTTAAATAGTCTACTCTCATAGCTTTCACTAACGTACGTCTCTTAAGTAATGCTTTGTACTCAACTTTTTTTTTTTATGTTTCCAATGCAAACCTCAATGTGTATTCAAATGTTTCTTCTTCAAGTGATGTGACTATGATTTTTTCTCCGCTCCCATTTTCATTAAAGATTTGTCTATATGAATACTCCATAGTAGGTTTAGTGGCATCTTTATTGATTGTTTTTCTTTCTTCTGTGATTGCCATTTTGCTGGAGGTAGTGATAAAGGTGTGTTGTGCATAGCTTTTTCTTCCTTGCTCAATTCTACTAAGAAATTTGCTAAAACCCGTGCTTTTCATAGCTTTTTGAGATTGGAATTTTGTCTCAAACTTTGTGAGCTCAATGCTCAATTTTACTAACCTTCTTACTAGGTTTAGCTTCTACAACACATGTCTCAAAAGATAATTAGTTAAAACTATAGTTTTGTGCTCAAGTAAATAATATTTGAATCATTTGGCTATTGTGATGCATATGATAGCCTTTTTAAAGGTGTGTATCTTGTCCCAGGTCTTTGCAAAGTATACAAGCCTTTGCTTTTTCTTGTCATGTTTGACTAAAGCTATGCTAATTGCTTCAATAATGGCTTTCCCATAAGACATGATATCTCCTTTATTGAAGTCAGAGGTTTTATCTCTAGTTTCGCACACACCTAATCTAGGTTGGCTTCAATTCCTCTATTAGTTAACATGTACTCCAAGAATTTCCTAGCTTCCATTCTGTCACACCCCAGAACCCAAATCCGGAGACGTGGCAGACGCTATGCACTGGTGAGAGGGTCTCACAAATGCACAAGGCTCGGAACTTATTCAATTCACATCTGACAATCCAATAACTTAAATTAGATATTTCAATTTATTTCTATATCCAAAATGACTTAAATCCAAGTAATTGTTCTAATGATCGAAATCTGTTTTGATTCATAAATTCAAGGTAAATTCTATCTTACAAAAACATGATTTATTTCTAAAATCTATATCAATCTCGGAATGGCTAGCCTTCTAACTCGTCACTTCCCATGGTTTCCCCGTCCTCGGTTTCGCTTCCTGAAATGGTGGACAAGGAAAAGTTATGAGATAAACTTAGTAAGTAAATATGGATAGCTCTTAATTAAACTTATAGCATGCCAACCAGTGTAATCACAAAAAACAAGTACGAGTACGAAAACGAAATAGACGTCTCCTCCATAGGTCATGGCCAGTGTTATAAACCTCCCACTAGCAGGCACACGATTTACTAGTGTATAATTCCACTAGCAGGATAACAGAAACGAATCGATTCTATCAGTAACATGTCGACATGTGCTAGCATTTATAAACCTCCTACTAACGGGCACACGAATAACATGACCATATCGGAGACAAAACAAGCAGAAATTAACAGAAAAATCATAATTCACCAATCACTTTCAAATCATTAGGACAATCAATTAAATTTCAAGTAGGCATGCTCAATTTAATGAAAAGCATAAAAATTTCACTTCAAATCAGTCATACTTACTTTTGCATAAAACGGGTTTAATCCCGTTACCACTTCAAAAATAAATCGAAACATGCTTTTAAAAACTATATGAGCATTACCATAAATTTACTTAGCTCACTTGCATAAAACCGAAGACTCGATCTCAGTGCTAAACTGACAGAACGACCAGGAACCTAATCAAAATATCCAAGAATTAATTACCGTACCACGGATTCAAAAGTAAAATCACCATGACTACCCCTAATCACGATGCTATTCCTATCAATCTCCCATGATCAAATATCTCCAAATTTGTTCATATATTACAAACTAAACATTTAAATCTCCATTAATGGTTGGTCATTACACATGAATAGTACCGTGAACAGTACTGTGAACAATGCTCGCGCCGTGAACAGTACTGCAACTTCCAAAAATTGGCCAAAACACTAGCTAATTCACGGGATTTTCTCTCCAAAAATCACAGCAGTCAATTAATTAATTTTCTACATGAATTAAGAAACAAAACACACTTAAAATGCTCTTAATTGCTACCGGAATTCCTCCCATTTTTCCAGCAAAATTCGGACACACAAGGCAGCAAATAAATGGACAAATTCAAGGCTTGGAAGGGCTGTCAACATACCAGAATTTGCAAGCAAGGAAACCGGAGCTGTAGTTTGGGGAGGAGGCCGGCGGGATCTGCAGGGAAACTCACGGAAATCTACCCAAAAATTGAAGGAAATAAAAGCAATTAAAGTAAACCCAGCCTAAATCAAGGTTAAAGAGATGATTTCTTGGCTGAATCTTACCAAAAACCAAAGCAATTCGCCCCCACAAAG